TGAGCAGAGCAGTTGCAGGTGATTATCCCGTTTTGATGTGGCCTGGCGGTGATTAATGTGACTTTTAAACGAGTCGTCGCCCCCTCCCCCAAAAAGCTCTCCTCTGTCCACGCACGGCAACAGCAAGTCAAAACACCTTCAATGACCCAGCCAAGGAGCGGTTATCCACTCTGTAGTTTTGACTTACTTTACAGGTTTGATACTTCATTTAAGTCACATCTTACCTCAGGAGAGACCCCCCCCACAGGGGTAGTCTCCCACTGTGCGGTGCATATGTGAACACACAGGTCAGGAGAATATCCGGAGCAGTCCTCCTGAAATTTTCTAGATATTTTTGAGAGTGTGTGAGAACGGCTTCTCTCACTCTTTTTGACCTCCAATGAACATGCAGAGTCTGATCAGGACTGAAAAATCATTTGGGACGAATCATTTCACATTTTGGCTTTTGCACGAGTTAATCATAGTTTCCACAGTGTCTAGGTTTGTGTGCATGTAATGGTGTATGTGTGAGTGAAGTGACAAGTCACACACCTTCATCTAGGTCAAATTCCTGCAGATGTCTCTGACCTGTCAGGGTTAATTTCTGGAGCAGAGGTGGAGGGCTGGATTTTAAAAACCTCACCCTAGACTTCCTCTTTTATTTCTGTATCACTCCCTCTCTACTGAGGCAAAGAAGAATGATTGATGAGATGAGTGTCCAGCACATTGGAGCGCCCAGGAGCGTCCACTCCACCCGTCTCATACTGACACACACACACACTTATACTCACACTCACACTGATATTAGAGTAATTAACCTCAGACTGTGTTAACCCCAGCTGCCCATTAGAAGGACAACAGGATTGATGGGTTTCCCCCCAGTCCTTCACCATCTCTACAGTTTGTGCCGGATTAAGGCACACAGGAATGTGTGACTTTAACATATAAACCTGCACACACATGTGTAACGTAATGTTCACAGTCATAAGTATTACTCCTGAGTAAAGACAGTCTAAAAGAAAGCACAAAAATAGATTTAAGTAATTGTAATAAAGGAACTGATTTACTATAAGAAATGACTTCATTCACCCTTTATGTGACTTTAATCTCCTTTTTCATACATCATCTTCAGTTTAATATATATCTCAGTGTAACCACAAATAGACAAGTAGGCTCCCAGGAGGAACAAAGTGGACCATCACCACCAGTCTGTCCTACTTTGTTCCTAATCTTACATCCTTGCACCAGTTTGGATGTTGCTGGGGGGTATTTAATGTCCTGCCACCCCAGAAAAAAACAGCTGACATCAACAAGATTTACTTTAGAATTGATAAGTGTCAAATCTGAGCCAATGTAGAAATGTCTGTCTCTTCACATCCATACTTTCAGCCCTTTCCTCATGATTTCATGAATGTTGGTGAAACATTTGCTGTGTGTCTTTGTTCTTGCTTTAAAGATTACTTGTGACTAAAGCCAGACCAATGTTTGGTCGATTTTTGAGCCTGAAATGATGCATTTGACTATTTCAAGAAATCTGAACATTAATATGGAGATGGTTCAATATCTGATAATATAATAATAATAATAATAATATAATAATAATATACATTTATTAGAAAGATGATCACTGAGTGACATTTTACTGTTTAAAATAAACTTAAAATAATTCTCTAATGGACTTTTAGTAATTTAAGTCACAATAGTTGTATTTGGGACAAAGACATTTTTTCACCACTTAATTGATCGCCATTATTCTGAGAGTACCTGAAAGCTTGAATTTAAATTTCATCTGACTGCATCAAAATGGTCTTAAAGTACGGCCATTATACTCTGGCCTCCATAATACTGATTCAATGTAAACATGGTAAATCTGTTTAGCTCTTTCTTTACACTTTTTGGCTAACAATCACAGTATGTTCACTCTGATAATTTCATATCAGCAATGCCTCTAAATAAAAAAGTTTAGCTGTTAATGAGACCCCAATTAGAAAAGATAAAATCACAAAATTAATGTTCCATTGTCTACAACTTCTTCTCTGTCTGCTGTGATATACACGGCTTCCAGACATCTCACTGTGTTTTTTCTTTCTTCTTTACTTTCCATTCATAGTAGAACTGCCCAAAAAATCAGAGCCTTCTTCTCTTTTTTTAACAAAACTGTGAATGACATCTTTTTCCTTTTTTTTTAAACTGTTTAACAGACCAGGGTAAAATGTGTTCTCCATCTCTTAGCTGTCAATAGATCCTCACAGAGAGAGCCTAAAATCTCAGGTTGTGCTTGTGCAGAGGTCGATTTAAAGCGTGCACTGTGAGTTAACAAAATGTACCACATTAATAAATAAAATGTCTGTGTCTGCTCAGATCAAGTTGGAAATGAACTCTATAAACAGGGACAGTGTGTTGTTGTTAAGGACAGATATCATTGAAATCAGTGTTGACAAGTTAATTTAAACTGACCGACCACAGCCTCGATTGGCTAATTGGACATCTAGACACGGCAAATAAAACTCATGGTCAGTCTGTGTTGAAGTGTCTCATTTACAACGTCCTCCCCTTTAACCTCTGACCCTGCTGTGACCTCTCTGACCTCTGGCTCTCGTCCCCACAGATGAGGCTGGTGATTGGGACTGTTGTCATTGAGATATCACATGTGACATCTCCGTTTCAGTCCAGCAGCGGTGACAATTAAGACTGACAGCATTTAGCAGATCTAAAGAGCTTCCAATTAACAAAGAGCGGTCGAATGTTTGTTTGTTTCAGCTTTATTGGAGCTGTTGATGAAAATCTATCAGGACATTTCTTTGTAAAAAAAAAAAAAAAAAAAAAATTTAAATCCATGTAAGAGCATTGCTGAAGTAATTTCTAATAATTGACAGAGATGGTTTGCGTCTCTGATTTTACAACCTGTGATGATTAATGTCCGTCATAAAAGACATTACTTTAAAATGCCTTGATGAGCCATCAGAGAAATGTTTTGCATTTAAAACCAAATCTGTCGGACATAAATATTTAAGAGGCTTTAACGATGCTCCTCTTTTTGTTTATTTCTATTTTATTATTATTTCAGGATTCGTGATTAAGAATAATTATGCAAGTCAAACTAAACCACGGCTTCACATAAACATGTAATTATGTTTTCTGGCTCCAATCTGCCGGATAATAAAAAAAATAATATTTCTCAATAGGTATAAACATTTTTGGTTTTGATGTGAGTGTGTCATTTTTTCTGTTGTCATGGCGAAGTTAGGTGCTTGTGGATGATCATTCTTCTGAAGGTCATATGTTTGTATAGAAATAGTGAAGAAGCTGTGGAGGACCCTGAGAAAGGACACAAGCCATATTTTAAAGTTGTTGTGTGGGACTACAAGTAGTGAAGGCAGATGTGGGTTTTAAGTGCAAAATGGTTTTTTTTTTAATCAAAATGTGATGTTAAATTGTAAAGTAGACAAAGATGTTTGAAGAAGTGTTATAGAAATTAAAGATTTTTTTTCCACTACAATATGAGATGCATGTAATGACTTGATTTAAGAAAAGGGGTCATCTTATGCTTTTTCTGGTTTTATATGCTCTTTAGTGTGTTTTCCATGTATCTGTGCATGTTTAGGCACATCTATGTGCAAAAATTCAAAGTCCACGGAAACGCGGCTTCTCCTACGTTACCTGTAGCATTAGCTGCATGTAACGCTCGGTTCTAGCCCCCCTCGAAAAAAAATTGCCAGTGTGATGTCTCGTCAGTGTGAGATCAGTGATTTAAGCCCATTGGCTCGTTGTGGCAAGCCCTGCAGCTCATGTTGCACGCCCGTTAACTTCTGTAGCACGCCCACGATATGCCGCAGCCTGTGGTAGCACAGTAGTGCTAAGGTGCTAATGTTTTTACTCTCCTTGGAGCCAAAGTGGCTGCATTCCCAATATGGTAAAAGGGTGTGACATTTCCGAGAACCGTGCTGAGCAACTGACCAATTACGGCAGAGCCGACAGGCCGACCAATCAGATCAGACTTGGCACACGTGGGGACTCTGAACGTGGGCACTTCAGAGCCTTAAGAGAGAGTCAGGTGCATGGAGCGGCAGTATGAAAACAGACACTTTTTTCAGACTTCAGCTATTGTGAACATACTTTAGTAGGTACATAGATTAAATATACGAACCCCAAAAAGGGCAGAATATGACCTCTTTAAATCTGTTGTCTGATGTAAACTCTTTATATTAAGGTACACATTGTTTACCATTCTCTCATTGCACATAAACAAGCAAGTAAGTCATAATGGTGATCGCTTAGCTATCATAATGTGCTCAATACCTTGAATAATGTGCGACATTTTACACATAAATACAGCGGAAATATCTTCTGTAAATGTCTCTCTGAGTCATGACTGTCTACAATGAGTGAGAAGCATGAATCCCGCTGGCTGTGTTGTTTTCGGAGCTGTGTTTACATCATGTTTACACAGACAGGACGGCCTTGTGTGTAAAGCCAAGGAGTAGAGAAAAGAAGAATAACATACTCACTGCTTATTTGAATGTCATTTAAGTGTCTTTAGATCTCGGTCATTCTTTGTCAATGTATGTGAAATGTGAAGCGATGAGTTACGTACCATTGTACGTAATGGTGCTTAATGACGATGCTTTCTAATTGATAACTGCTTTGTGCGAACGCCAGTGGAGAGGGGTTGGAGGTGTGTCGCTGGAGGAGAGCGGAGGCTTCAGGATAGCGGAGGTGTTACAAAACAGCAGTTCGTTTTGGTTTCATGCTGGTGCTCAACGGCAACATCTACTGGATCGAAAAGTTGCACATTCGTCTTTTAATTTGAGTTGAAAATAATTAAAAAGGTATTACAGCAACAATAATGAGCTACATAATAATATAACAAAACAAATAAGACCATTATTACCAGTATCACCAGTTAAGAAACAACATTGAATCAGCCTATTTTGCTGCACTATGAACTCAAATTTACACGGCATGATGCTTTTTTTAATAGAAACAATTGACACGTCTTTCTCTTTTTTCTGTCTTTGTAGGAACATTACTTCATCACACAGTATAATGATGGAAACGCTGAGGTGGTGTCCATGTGGGTCTGTCGCTGTCTGGAGGAGAGACGAGCTCAGCAGGCTCAAGGATGCGTCTGACGTCCTCTTGTCGCCCACCCATGATGGACCCAGATGTTTTGATCCCCAAAACCTTAAAACACTTACTAAAGGCTTCAGGGTCAAGTACATCCATATGGCACCGTACAAGTGGACGAGATGTTGAATACTGTTGTGAGTAACTATCACATGAAGTATTTATATGTGACATTGAGGAGCTCACTTCTTTTGAACTCTGCATCCAGTGTGAGCTGAGACATCAGCACTTTCTTCAGCACATGATCTCCATTCAGCAGCACAGTTCACACAATTCTTGTGAGTATAGAGAATGAAGATGTATGTTCGGATGAACTGACATAAAAAGTCCTGATTTAATGGGACAATAAAAAAAACTCAAAGCCTAAGACTGCAGTACCTGTGCAGACTTTTTCTGTTGCTAGGATGGTATCTCAAATACCAGCTCGTGCTTTACTGTGGACAGACGTCTACTGAATGTTAAGGTTTAAGCCTGTGAATAACTTCCCATGTGTGTGCCTGTTTTTGTCCCAGTGTTGCACTTGATTACCTCAGCAATCATAGGTTGTCCTTAAAATATGAAACCCCCCCCCACCCAGAAAAAAATGTACTTGTACCCAGTTATTGCCTTGTCCATGTGAGCTTCATACAAATCTCTTTCTGAGGTAATATAGTGAACAACAAGCCTGCAGTATCAGTGAGAAGCAGCCCTGCAATGTCACAGAGTGGAAGGATCAACAATCATCTTTTTTCTGTTCTGAAGGTTACTTCCCAAATTATTTGTTGTTCAAAGTCGTCGCCAGGAACGAGGCTTTCCCTCCACTTAAAAAGGTCGTTAACTCAGATAAACGTTTTTCTGTTTGCACAGACATGCCCGAATCTGAACCCCACAACTTCTGAAAAGCAGACTGTGCTGTAGCTTTTCTCCACCAGCTTTTAGAAGCTAACTTTTGAATGTAAAGTTGTTGTTTTTTATCCACTTTCTTACCTGTAGATCATAACTTTGGAAATATATATATATGTGTCATGTCCTATACAGAAATATATTTTAGTGCATTGCCAAAAGAAATCAGATGATATGCAGGACTTAAGAGGGGAAACATAAATGCAGTGCACAGAGAGGATTGACGATGGCTATATTGAATAATGTAGTTTTCCTCTGGATGTGCTATGTGACACAAAAAATTAATTGCCTCACAGACTGTGTGTGCAGTTTTTGAAAATGTGTGGAGTTTAAGTGCAATTAAATGCCACAAAGGCGAGGTGACATCAGCGGCATGGTTTGTATAGTGCAAACACAAATGTAAGAGCAGTACATCGGCGCTACAAAACGCATCGGTTTATTCTCTATATGATGAGTTTGTTTCTAAAGGTCACCATTAAATTAGCTTTTGTCCTCTTCAGCAATGACACATTTCATGTAAGGTTGATATATTTCTCAGTGTCCTTTGACTATAAATCACATTTACTGCATCATTTCACTTAGGAAAAAAGGTTTTTATATTTTTTATGGCGAGGCCTGCAGAGGAATTGTTTTCATCAATCTGATTAGAACGCTTATTATAATTTTCAGAATAGACTATTCATTAAGCTTTGATTGAGTGTTACATACCGACATATTACCATATGTGCAGGGAAACAATGACCTAGGTCTCAAGTCCATATCAATTATAAGCAGGGTTTTTTATTTATAAAGTTCACTTGTGTATGAATTGAAAACGTCATACAATAAGAATGCTGGCAACCAATTGAAATTTGCTAGATTATTCCCAAAGAATAAAGTCATGTCGGCTGACCCCGTGTTTCAACAGGTCAGGGTTTTAAAATGATTACAGGCAGCTTTATGGTGGCACTGGAAAAATCTTCAAAACAAAAGTCTAAAAATCCCAACTTTACAACTTTTTCATCTTTATCGACTTTCTGTGAAACTTGGAAGACCAACTGAACTGTTTGATGAAGACTAGTGAGCTGCATGTTTGTTAAATAACAAGCTCATTGATGAACATTTTCTCTTTGGGCAAACATTTAGACACTATTGATAATTCTGAATATTTATGTTTATGTAGCAGTTCAATCAGTGTCGAAATCTGTCAAAAATGGTCACAGGCAGTTTTTTCTGGGCAATAATTCTCTATTATCCTTTCTAGTTCAAGTGTTCTGAGACAAGTCAAGACTTCTCGATCTTCATTTGCTTTCAGAGACAACATCTGTATTGGCTGTGTTTGATGAATGTTTATTCACATGCTGGTACCTTCTGCTTGTAAAAGTCATATCCTGATTTTAAGGCAGAGATTCCTTCTCAAAAATGTATCCCAGCATTGGCAACATTTGCCTACACAAAGCAATCCAATGACATTTGATGGACGTATCGATAATAGAGCTTAAAAAAGAGGCAACAATGTGCAATAAAAAAAACCTTTCACAATAAAAGCATATCAGAGACTTAACCATGCGTACAGGTTAGCTGGAAACTCCCTTTACCTTTAATATTGAAATGCTTTGTGGTGGTTGGTCCGTATATAATTCCATTAAGGCAGTCTTAGGGAGGGGGGGCTTTTCCCACAAAAACAACATACCCCAGCTTTAAGTACAAAGATGTCTTAATCTTAAACAAACTGGGATATAGGTGACAATGTGAAATTTATCAGTTGAGTCTTTAAGAGATCATTTGAGGCCACTTCTCGCCTCAGAAACCTGAAAATTAGAAACAGTTATTTCCTTTGTGTTTACAGAAAATACCCTGGGAGGATGTCTGTGCAAAATGTCAGAAATATTACTCTGGTGATTGTTCAAATCAGAACAAAAAATAAGATGTTTCAGTCACAGGATAACTTCAACGTGGTTTGCCAAAAGTTGCACAATGAATGAAGATGTTCTCTGCATGATAATTGTGAAATATAGTCGTGTTGCTGTCATTTTGAGTGTGTATCATTTTTACTTTACTGTTCATTTATCTGTTTGATATCAACCTTACATTAAGTTGGCCTTAAATATAACTGAAGCTATAAAAAAAACAAAAAACAGCCTGCAGTGAGAATAGTTTGTCATGGCCCTGGCTCCTGATGAACTCACTTCAAATGCTGACATGTCCAATGACTTAAATGAAACCAAAAAAGACAACCATTTTTTTTCTTATGATGAACTGAAATGTCAGACACATCTTTTATGGATGGAAATGAACTCACTGACTGTGATTTTAACTATGCATCTGCAGAATGAGTGGAAATAGCTTGTTCTTTTTCTTTTTACCTTTTCTTTTGTTTTCTAACAGAGTTCACATCCTGTGTTTCTTGTCTGTTTTGTTTTTTTTGTCTTTTTTTATCCTAAACCATGAAGCATTAAGTCAGTGATGATGGGACTCAGCAGTTATGTTAGTGCTGTAATATTACTCACTGATTTGGGTCTTTTTCTGTAATTATCTGTGTTGGCACATATTCCAGCCATAATAAAATATAAGTATTTAAACAGAATACGTTGGGTAAGTTTGAGATTTTCTTATAACATTAGCATTCTTGTCTTTACATCTTGAAGTATATTCAGTGACTTTCTCAATCCACATCTTGATTAGTTTATTTTGAAAGGGACTTCATTGCTTTCAAAAAGACAAACATCTGACGTTTGGGTGTTCATCTGCAGAGGAGTGTGTGGTCGGTGAGGAGAAGAAGCCTGAAGGTAAAAATCCTCTAAACAATGAACACTTGTGTGCATCTAGAAGAAAAAGATGTATTTGTTGTTCATGTGTTAATTCATTTAAAAGCACTCGTTTGATTCATCAGCTTGAATATCAGGACGTTTTGAGCTAATGAGAGAAGTGCAACATCCTTCCAAACCGCTTCACCTCAAACTGCACACTGCAAATGATAAACTGGGACATCAAGCTCAAACTACTGCAGTCGAATACAACAAATGTTTTTAAGTTGACGATCATAGTATAGAGTGTAGTTGAGCTGTCATTGCATTAAACAAAATATACAGTTATGAATACGTACAACATTAAAAATCTACCATTAAGTATATTTCAACCTAGCATATTTAAGTATACTGTAAGTATGAATACTACATTTCTTAGATTATGACGATAGTTTATTCGAGCAATGCAGTGCAACATTTTAAAGATGAAGCCAGACAATTACATGAACATGAAAATCAAACACAAGCTCACGTCTCACTCTAATCCGTCCTCAGTTAATATCAGTGTGGACAAATTTGAGTTTTATACCAAACAGTTTAACTGAAGCCCCTCAGACTGTTCATACAGTTGAGTCGGTTTCTTTCTAAAACAGGTTAAAGCAAAGTGAACATCATCACCACATGGTAGGATTTATTTTAAGTTGTTGTATCAGACTGCGTTTGTTTTACCTTTGTGTGGATAAATTGTAAACTGGGTGTAAAGCACATCCGGCCGCTCTTTTCATTAACTTGATGTAAGACACCTTCAGGACATGATTTAAACTCCTCACAAGGCTTTAATGACGTAAAAAAAAAAAAAAAACACTGATGGTCTCTTCATCAATTATGTGACTTTTTAATGTCTTGGTGTGATTTGACCCAAACCTGTCAGCACCTTGCTACCACAGTTCACTTCAAATTAGCATTTTATAATTAATCTCAGTCAACCTTTAATTAACAACAGCCTCATTCTTGTATATTAATTTTAACATTAACCTGTGAAAATGTTGGCCAATAAGGAGATATGGTATTTACCTGAATGCATGAAGAACATCCCATGATGTCTTTCTCCACAGGTTGATACACTTGAACGTGAAATGTCTTTTAAAACTCTGAACATGAATCAGTACAAAACCTTCAGCGCCTTATGTTGAACCTCATTACCTCTAAATGGTAAGTAAATAAATGTTACTGTCACTTTATCAAAGCACAGATATTGAATTTAGCTTAACAACAAGCGGTTATTTGCATGCATCAATCCAACACACATTTCTTCCCCTCAGCAGCTTCACATGGAGAACTTTAGTTCACAATGCCAAATGGAAGATATGTTTATTATTTTCAATAATTAACTATCAAATTGAGCCATCATTTCAGGTTGAATAAGTTAATTTAGTCGTTCAGTGTTAGGAATGTGGAGATATCGCCACTGATTTTTGTGACAAATAATGTCTGCATGCCAATGTCCTGAACTGTTAAAGACTGCGGCACACTTCAAACCTGCTCAGGGTCACACTCAAATCTACTGTTACAACCCGGCTTTTGGGGGGAAACTAAAGTAACCAGGGGATTTTAGTAGATTAAGTTATTTATCAAAACAGAAGAAACATTTTGATACAACAACAAAAAAGTGAGGAGAACTGAAAGGGCTGACGACTGCTGCTTCAATCAATAACAAGGTAACACAGAAGGACTCTAAAGTAGGGTTTTAAAATACTTTGTAATTGGTGAAGCTGACCCAAACCAAACAAGAAAAGACCAGCACCCCTAAACCTAGAGTTCTGAACAAAGACAGATCCTAATGTGTGTGTTTAATAAAATAAACATCCTGGCCCAGTCCAACACATGACCAGTTCCTCAGAACAGCGAATCAATTCAACTTTATTTGTATAACACCTTCCATACAGAGATGAAGCACAAAGTGCTTTACATAAACATAAATCAAGCAGGAATGACATGACCCCCACCTCCCACACAATCCATAAACAAGGTAAGAACAAACTAGATCAAAACAGGTACTGAGGGACTGAGGAAACGCAAACATGAATTCTTAATGAGAATGTTAAAAAGCTGAAGAGAAAAACTGAAGACATAAGACGAGTTCTTTTCAGAACATTTACAAATATAGACCAAAGACGACGAGAGGCACAGTCGCAGCTGAAAACAAATGAAGCTGCACGAGGGCTGTCGAGCTGTCCAAGCTTCTTAGGAGTGTGATGTGGAGGGTGATGTCCTCTGATTGGTTGATTGTTTCACTCCTGTGCACCAATCAAGCTTCTCCTGCAACAGCAGCACAGGTGAATGAAATCAGGTCTGGAAGATGCACTCACTAACACACACAAACACACACACACACAGACACACACACAAACACTCACAAACAGAGGTCAGTCACACACGCAGGAGAAGTTGTGTGGCTCGAGCCGTAACATCTACTCAATTTTCATTCATTGAGATAAAAGATATAAAGCCAAATATGAACAGACCAGGAGCTAAGAAAACTAGTGAACATAACAGCCAATGATAAACCAAACAACAAACATGAGAACATCAAGACTGCGGAGGTGTCTGTATGACTGCTGCGTGTAAGCTGCTGTTCAATGGCAACACAGCAGAAAAATGTAAACGTGTAATAGAAATATGCATCAGTAGCAACAGAAGAATATTAACTCTGTCATATATTATTATCTTTGCAGAGACATGCCAGCTTCATCCAAAAGCATCTACACCTATGCTAAGCTAATCCCTGTGTACTGTACGCCCAAACTTGCAAATATGGCAGTCACTCTTTGATAGGAAGTGTTGTGAATAAATTCAACATGGAGAGACGCTCTCCAGATATAAAGTCATCGTGTATGTTAATGAAGTACGTTTACTTTTAGACTGTATCAGAAAGTTATCCCAAATAAAATGTGACAGCTTGTTGAGCATGGAGAGTGGCTTTAAAACAAGCTTAACTTTCTTGGAGGAGCTGAAATTGGTGTCCTTGGAAAAAGACGCAATTGTCAAAGTCATTGAAATGAAAATGTCATTGTAAAGCTGTTAAGGGATCCCTAAGCCTTTACACAGTTTAGGAAAAGTTCATATATGAAGGTGAAACTTCATAAATCAATAAAAAACTGACTTTGTACTTAAGCCTACATAACTTTTAGAAGCCCATCGGCTCATATACTGTATGTATGTTACACAACCAATGAGGTCTTAACAAAAGGAAAGATGTTTTCTCTGCAGTTCGTTAATAATCTCTCATTTATTGGTCGGCGTGGGTTCAGAAAACAAACTTTTGTGAAGATCACTGAAAAATGTTCTCTCGCTTTCAAATTAAATACACAAATCTCAAAGAAGCAAATGTTCCCTCTGGGCTTCTGTACAGCATCCACATCTTCGTTTTGGTAATAACTGTTAGTCATACTCTGTTTTTTTAAAAGGGACCTTGTGGCCATGTTATATATACACGTTTAAGTCTCAGAGCAGCTTGACATGTACAGTAGAGCAGAGCAGTCTCGTTTTGATAAAATGCAGCTGTTTGTATAGCAGAGGAGCCATGAGGCATTCGAGGACCCTGACACACAACTAAGCAGTATGTAAAGAGGCGGAAATGTGTTGTATTATCTGAATTAAAAACTCTTTGAAAGGAGCCTCGGAGAGCAGAAGGACTAATTATTTTATATCAAGCTGTTTTTTCTTATGTGATCATAAATGAATTCATTCCTCTTGGTTATTTGATCTTTAAATGAAAGCCAGTTTAAGCTAAATACTTAAGACTAAATACTTTCTCTGATATTTGACCTCTTTCACGCTGCAGTCAGAGTGCCAATTATCCTTCTGAGGGACACCAAAGGCAGAAATACAACAAAGACCCAACCAAGACCGAGAATGCTGCTGGTCCTTGTAAAGATATTTTCAAACAAAAATCTCCAGTGGGTAGGATAACGTGTTTGATCTGTGAGAAAGTAGATTAAGAGGTCAATAAGAGCAGGGTTGACTCTATAGTGCACAAACAGCATCTATCCAGACCTTCACTGAGTACTGAAGAAATGATTTAGCTTTTTTTATACATTTATCATTCATTAGATGTTTTTTTATTGAAGTCCAAATCTTAAAAAGTCTGCATGCCAACACTGAAAGACTCTCGAGAGGTTTGAATAGCACTTGAGGAAACATTTGAACATTTTTATGTCTTTCTCAAACTGACAATACTTGAGTCTTGGCACTATTTTACAAACTTGTCTGGTGTGGTTATTTTAAAATTTTTGAATTTTTGAGACTTTTCACTGAAGGCCACTATTGTAACGCTCATGATGGAACTAAAAGCAAAGTCATGGGATCACCCAAGACTGTATAAAACATGGACATAGTCTCTGTGATGTCATCAGTTGGTTTCTGAAGAGGCGTCCCTGCGTCAGAAATGCTGACGCCATCTAAGTGAGAAGCAGGCAAATAGGTGGAGCTGAGGTGGGCTGAATATATATCTTTGTTGCTGAAACATACCGATCTAGCCCGAGACCAAAACATTTTTGAAACGGGCTGTAAACATGTTTATTTCTGCTGTAAAAAATAAAATAGCATTTGAAATTAGGACCTAATTGAGATTCCGAGGATTTTGGAGCCCACTTCAAGTGGACACTCAAGGAACTGCAGTTTTTGCATGGGCTTCATTTTTCAACATCAGAGGTTGCTGCTTGATGATCACCAAGTACAAGATAATTCCTGCTCTTAGGGAAAAGAACATTAACCCAATATTTGAAATATTTCAGTCTGGACTGAAGTGATGGATCTTTAGGCGCAGACAGTCACTTCC